CTATTTATATAGCGCTTATCCAATTCTGTTCTAAGCGCTTTAAAACTACATGACAACTACAAAACACATGAGAGTCTTGGTAGACTGTGAGCTTGAGTTGGCGCCTCTGGCTGCCGCTGCACAGTCTGTCCCAAGATCTCAAACTAAAAAAGTACAACAATCAGATTACATCACAATAAACAAGTAAAATGTTTTTGCATGATGCCCGGTGGCTCAAATGAGCTCATTCGCCCTTCGACAGGTTTTGTTTTTAGTCCTGCTGGGAGTCATGCCACCCTCCTCACCAGTGTAATAGACTGGTGGGGGTGCAGGTTTAGACGCCGACGACCCGTCCATGAGGCAGGTTGTACTGGGTTACACTGTTACCAGTAGCAGACTACATGTCTGACCTGACAGTTATATGTGTTTGGTAGAGCTGATAATGGTATGTTTAGTAAGCTTCTGAAGCTTACATTACTACTTGATTGCAATATGTATTGTGGTATTTGTCCCAAATATCCTGCAATGCATTATGTGTATAAACCAAGCTTTAGAGGTCATATTTATTAGTGCAAAAAAACAGAAAATCAAGTTTGTTAATCATAAAAATTGAAAAAAGTGTTTAAATTTATATACTCTGATGAGGTGCAAATTCAACTTTTTTCCTGGTAGGAATGTGCRAAAATGAAGTTTCCGACTGTGCACTAATTAAAACCGATTAAACTTAAATGCGCTTCATCCATTTAATATACCTTCTTTTCTTCATCTTTTTCCCAAAACACTGGGCCTACTTTTGACAAAAAATCAGATGTCATATCAACTACCATATCACAACGGGCAACCTCAAAGCTGTCAGATGGTGAAAGACCTGTAGTAAATAAAAACATTATAATTGTCATCACGCAGTAGTAGCAGTTTTATYCCACGGGGTGGACTCCCTAATAAAAAAAGCAGAGATCCTTATGTCAGAAATTCTGAAAATGATTCCTAAAAGGGACCTGTAYTGTGAGATGATGGGCATGATAGCTGTGCTAAGATTTCACCCCTAAGATGGAACAATCAATAACAGGTCATTTTGTTTTGGCTTCCCAATTTGATTTGTGTTTTTGTACAAGCATTAAACGCTATCATTTAATGACGCCTTAAAATCGTTGTATACCCTAAAAGGGACCACAAAACTCAGTTGGTTGGAATTCTCGTCATTATCACCTTACGTGGGACCAAAACACTAATTTCAAGCCCTCTAAAWGGGATGACAAGGAACCCTGCCCTATTTTATTAGGGAGTCCACCCCCTGGGTAAATTATCAACTTCAGAGCAATTTGCAATAGCCTGTGTATCTGGTACGGATGAAACTCGTGACATTTGCAAGTGAGAACAAAAACATCAAAAGTGAGAGTAGCTTAAAATCATTATTTCAACTGATTTTCAAAGCAATAGAAAGCAAAGAAAAACAAATAGAATTCCCATGTAATCATTGCTGCAATTATTTGGACATAGTTAATCGAGGGGAATTTCCCCTCGATTAACTATGATTTGGATAACAGACAGAATATTTTCTTATTATTATTTGTTATTTAGTTATTTTATTTTCATTTTATTTGGTGGTACAAAGCACAAAAAAATCTTCTGTCTGTCTGT